AAATTTTTTAACATTTTCTAATGGTGGTGTGCCTCGTGATTTTTTTCATGAAAAAAGTGTGCCTTTGCACAAAAAAGGTTGAAAAACACTGCTTTAAGCTACTCCAGTGTGATTTGTCCTTGAGCCTCCAAGCAAGTCTAGCCTACATTATTACTATTATATTGCATTCAGAGATGTCTTATCTTTTTTTTCCTGTCCTCCATTATTAAATAATTCCCCCATTAAAGTAATTTAGGCTGCATTCTCTTAGCCCTAGAAATGATATTTGGGAAGCTGTAGAATATATTGTATGAGGTTTACTCTCAGTGGGTAAGATTCTACTCCAGATATTATTTTTTTTAGTAAGAGGTTTTGTGTAAACTTCGACTTTTTGAAACTTGACAGCTTTAAAATATATGGACTTCAACTGGGGAATTCTGGAAGTCCATACATCTTAAAGGTGTTAAGTTTCAAAGCACTGGTACCATATAAAGCCAGTCAACTGTGGGATAATTTGTGGATTAGCAAAGTATTGTTTGCTGTTGTCACACATCTCAATTTTCCTGTCCTTTTTCTGCACTAAAAACGCTAAATAATTTTATGTATCTTAATGTAGAAAATACGGTCAATAATTTTGGTCAACATTTTCTAACATTTTCTGGTACAGGATTACCAGAACCTAGATACATAATTTTAAAACTACTTTTAGGTATATTACTTTGCCCTGTTAGTTTCTTCCCTAATCTGAAAATCACTTATTTTTGCCGCTACTGCACTTTGAATTGATAAATTCTGAGAACTTGTTGTTTCTATTGTTTCTATCAAGAACATCATCCTAGCATGTAGCTTGCTCAACCAAGAAGCTAATAAATAGAAGGCCAAATCAAATCTTTTCTAATATTAGTATCTGCATATAGGAACCATATTTATGTCTTAGTGTGCATCATTTCATTTGTTGGATATATTTGGTTTTTATCATGTTGCTTGTTTGGTTTTTATTTCAAGTGCATATATGTGCTCATGAACTCACAAGTATAGTATATTTATGACAGATTGCTATGTAAATGTTCACAATAAAAACTAATGTTCATGGACACGAAACTCCTGAGTTCCAATACCAAAAGAGGAGATGATACTAGGAGTTTCTGTTCATAGACTGGCTGATATGTTTTTTGACCTTTTATATTTGAAAACTGCACACTTGAATTGTGGTTTACTTCTGGACGCCACTTATATTCCAGATATGGTTTGCCAAGCAAATTGGGCTGGATAGAGGGTCAGCAACCTTAAACACTCAAAGAGCCACAAAGGTCCTAACCGGAAGCCCCACATTCAATTCTGGAGCCAACCGGAAGTCCTGTTTCCCCACGATAGAGTCTTCTCCTAGCACAGCATCCTTTTTCATCTACCTGTCCTAACCGAAAGCCCTATCAATTGTGGAGCTGACTGGAAAACCCACCACTTGCCGTAGAGTCTCCTCCTGGCATGTTGTGCTTTCCCCCCTCCCAACCGGAAGCTCTTCTCAAAATTGTGGTGCCGACCAGTAATAGGGAGCCGCAGCAGAGGGATGAAAGAGCCACATGCAACTCCAGAGCCACGGGTTACTGACCCATGGGCTGGATAGTTGTGTTGAGCAAATAGATTGGGTTAGGGAGAATAGGTTCAAGAAGGAACCTATAAAAAGGAAGCTTTTTTGCTTCTTTATATATCCATGTGTGCACATTTGTCCAAATAAAAAAATGTGGTGATATTAGCTTCCTCTGCTGTCAACAATCCTAGATGTTAGCAAACGATTGTTAAAAGCAGACAAAAATGGAATCTTTGTACCTTGAAGGTTTTATGTGAACTTATAATGCAGAATTTTTAAATTTACTCTACCCTTTCATTATCATTTATTAATAAACAGAAGTCAACTCAAAAGTTTCTGCCCTATGGTACATAAAACTTCAAGCAGTTGTTTCCACTAAATCAGACATAAACTATGTTTCATAGCTTCACTATTTGCGGTAAACCTGAGGAATGGAGCAAAAATGGAAAAATGATGAATTTATGATATCTGAGGTTTATGGTCCAATTTTGCAGATCTGATCTAGAAAATTATATGCCCAGACTTGTTGATAATATCTCATTTGTCTTGTTTTAAGAAGACAGTTATAAACCTATTGTCATCTAGAAGAGTACAAACAAACCCCTCCCTCCCAAAAAAAGAGAAAAAATAGTTTTCTTCTTCAGGTGGAACACCATACTGTGGGATGACCTGCGCAGAACTCTATGAAAAATTGCCCCAAGGGTATAGACTGGAGAAGCCACTCAACTGTGATGATGAGGTGTAAGTCTCTTGGTTCTTGCTATACTGAAAATGGTCTTGAATGCCCTATGGGTCCAGAGGTGAGATTCAAATTGCAAAAATGAACTCACAATAGTAAGTAAACTTGCTTCAAGAAAGAAAAGAGGTGACTATTAAAATAAGCCATAGATTAAGAAAAATGTACAAATCTCAAAAGAACATAGGAATGAATAAGGACAATGGATATGCATAATCACAGTCTATGTGATTGTAATTTTTTGTACAATATGTCCCACTTCAACATACCTCTGAATGATGATTGATTGATTGACTGACTATGGAGATTGATCATGGTTGTCCCAAAGGTGCTTTTTCAAGAGGCAACTGGATTTTCTTATTTTTCTTTGAAGATGTTTCCCTCCTCATCCAAGAAGCTTCTTCAGCTCTGACTGAATGGTGTGGGCACCCATTGCACTATTCAGGACACAGACAAACCTCAACGTGGACTCAACAACTCTCTAAAAAGAATGCAAATGACCAGCTCTCTGCAAGGAATATAAATCCTTCCATTACCCCACCAGACAGTCACAGCTGAAGACGCTTCTTGGATGAGAAGCAAAATGTCTTCAAAGAAAAACAAGAAAATCAAAACAAATATTCTTTGGGATTGATTGATTGTGCTTAGTGGTTGGAGGTCATATCTTTATTGTACGGTTACAACAGAATCTTGCAAGTCTGGAAATATTTCTCCCTTCCTTTCCTGTTACTCTCCAGAAAACTAGGAAGGGTCCTTTCTGAAACATAGTCTCTGTCTCTCTCCTTCTGAGGTAAATCTTTTACATGCTGATTAGTATATAGTTCTTCCTCCTGTCACCCAAAGCCAATCCCACCTACCATTAGAGTTTCTGCCTACATCACTATTTTCATAAATTTGACAACTTCACATAACTTGTCAGAAAAAGTGTCCCATGTTCTAGAAGTGGGGGGGAGAGAAATCAGGGTTTAGTTTTGCATTCCCACTGTTCCCGCTGATAGAATGCTTGAAATGTTTTAGATAGTAATTATGAATCCTGTTGCATTAAAATCAGAGGTGGGTTTCACAGAGGTTTACCACCAGTTCACCCCACTCATGCACTCTCGCTTCGTGAGTGCCTTCCGCGCATGTGAATGGCCTTCCACACATACGCTTTGTTCACGTGTGCAGCTTGCATGAATGTACCGCTTTGAAAAAATGGCTAAATAGGATAGCATAGAGCTGGAGTGGGTAGACGGGTGGGTGGGGTCATCTGCAAGTCGCCACTACCAGTTCGGCCAAACCAGTCCAAACCGGCTAAATACCACCTCTGATTAGAATGTATGACATTCTGAAAACAAGCTAGGTCCACAAAAGGTAGCTTGAGCTCAAAATGAAAACATTTTAAAAAAACATCTTGATCATCTCCAGCAGAGTAGTGATCGCACATTTTGCTTCCTATCTTGTTATCATATTTGCTTTAGTAACATGGCTTGTGTTCGGAGTCATCTCCCAGTGTGTATTTTTCAAGAGATGGTTGCAATGGCCTAACCACCTTAGCTTCTATAACAAGTACTCAATGATGATGAGTTATGTGAGTTTTATAGAGCAAATAGCCAATGTGGGGGGGGGGGGGAAAACAATTGATTCCCTGCCTGAAAATCCCAATGCCTCAATCAAATCTGAAGGGCGGACCGGGGTGGGGTGGGGAGACACGCTGTAAAATAGGTTCTATTATTTTTAAATGACCCACAAATACAGATATTTCTAGAGGGGAAAATTTATAGCTTTGCAGTATTGGGAAAACAACTTCATTGGGGGAGGGGGGACCTCCAGAGAATGGAAGAAAATAGTGTCAAGAAAAAAGTTTGGAAGATCATCCCACAGCATAGAGATGAATCTCACCTTTCTGTAAAATGCTTGTCTAGATTGGTATTTAAAAAGGTACCATATGAGATATTCGTCTTTAGTTCAGACTGAAACTAATAGGAGCTGTTCTTCTATGCATTTCCCAGAGTTTTCAAGGAAAACGTCCATTAGAGAGTCCCTTTACCATCTGCACTTAGCTTAGGGGCTATTAAAAATGGGACCACTAATAACAATGATCTAGGGAAGGAATGGATAGTCTGTTTTGCCACAGACCATCTCTGTCATTTAATAGTCTTATTTTTAAGCATCTGGTTGTTATTATAAGGTAAAGGTTCCCCTTGCACATATGTGCTAGTCATTCCCAACTCTAGGGGGTGGTGCTCATCTCCACTTCAAAGCTGAAGAACCAGCACTGTTCAAAGTCGTCTCCGTGGTCATGTGGTCGGCATGACTAAATGTCAAAGGCACATGGAGTACTGTTACCTTCCCACCAAAGGTGGTCCCTATTTTTCTACTTGCATTTTTACGTGCTTTTCGAACTGCTAGGTTGGCAGAAGCTGGGGCAAGTAACGGGAGCTCACTCCATTACGTGGCATAGTTATTATGCATACATAATTTTTGTTGTTCTGGCTGATATTTCCTTCTGATTTCCCCCCCCCTCAGTTATGATTTAATGAGGCAGTGCTGGAGAGAAAAACCTTATGAAAGGCCATCTTTTGCCCAGATACTCGTTTCCTTGAGCAGGATGTTAGAAGAAAGGAAGGTAAGAATAAACAATGATTTCTTACATCCAGTCACATTTCCCATTGAAATGATTGCCCTGAAACTAACTTCTATGTCATATGGGTAGTAAAAAGATGTTTTGTCATAGCATGGTTGGAAATCACCTTCAGTATTACTATGAAAATCTCTCATGCATTTCGTGATTGAAAGAAAACATTCAGAGGCAGAATATCACAAAATTCTAAAGACAATTTCAGACCCCATTCAAGTGTTTAGACATAGCCTGATCTAAGAATTTTTTCCCCTTTTAACAACCCTGTAATCCCTTGTGTCAGGGTAGAGTCAGAATGACTGAATGGAGCTGAGCATTTACTGGCTGGATACCCTTCCTGATGCCTATGGAGAGCCCACAGCAGATATTTTCTCTTTGCACCCAGAGAGAAATGTCTGCTACTACCTTGGATGAAATTCACAGCTTCTGATTGTGAGGTGAAAAGTCCACCTCTATCATTCCACTCCATGCTGACCTAAGAATAATATAGCTGAAAAAATCTTTGGGACAAGAATATTTTTTTCTAAGAGAAGGAAAATAGCAGAGGTTCAGCAACATAGTTTTTGCTTTAGTGGGGATTAAAGTAAGAAATCTATGAGAATTTTCATTATTAAACAGTGGGGACTTAGCTCAGCGATTCAAATCTTTTCTAATAATTTCTTTAATGATTAATTTCTGACCACTAACTGTACAGACTAGGTAACTCCATTGTCCACTTACTGATACTATATTTCTGCATCATTTTTTTCTTTTCCCATTTTGCCCATTCCGTCTCTTTTTTCCTTCTTTTAAAAATGATAAATAAATAAATAATAAAAAGAATTTGCATCAGCTGCTATGTACAAGTAAAATATATTAAGCTCATTCTTTTCAATTGTATTTCCAGACTTATGTGAATACAACTTTGTATGAAAAGTTCACCTATGCAGGCATTGACTGTTCCGCTGAAGAAGCTGCTTAAGATGGAAGATTTTAAATTATTTATCAGTTTGAATGACTTAAGAGCTTGATCTCCTGGGGAATGTTTTTTGAAGTAAAGGTGTTACGACATTTTCTGTATAATACTTTTTGACTATACACATACAGGTAATCCTTGTCTTATGATTACAATTGGGATTGAAATTTCAGTTGTTGCAGTCGTAAGTTGAGGCATTATGTGACTGGACTCGATTGTTACGATTGTTTTTATGACAGTTGCTCAACATGTCACCAGAGTCACTGTGAATGATGGTGCCATTAAATGAACCACATGGTCATAAATGCAAACCCATTTTATCTGGCAGCTATTTTTGCTGCGTTTTGCCAAAAAAAAGGGGGGGGGCAAGAAATGTTACAAAATTCAATCAGGTGACCACAGGATGTTGCAACCAGTAAAAATGTGAGCTGTTTGCCAAGGTCCAGAGTATAACCGTGTGACCATTTGGCTAATATGACAGCCATAACATCAAAGACAGATCACAAATAACTTTTTTTTTCAAATCGGTTGTAATGTCAAACGTTTCTTAAGCGACTGATTGTAAATCAAGGACTACTTGTACCATAAGAGTGTACTTTCAAGTCAGTATGCTCTAGGAATGTGTGTGTGTGTATATATGTATGTAAATGTGTATGTGTGCCAGTACCCAATACTTATATCTAAGCGTTCAGTTTCTCATTCTCTATGCACTGCATGCATACCCAAGCACCATTTGGATGAGGAAATGGCACAAATAAATATATTTTACAGTTCTTTATGTTTCATGTTTCTTTTTTTTAAAAGTCAGATTTATATTGGGAAGTCGGGACAGGGGAAATCTCCAAGGGCCCAACTGAGTAAACCAGATAATATATTGAGGCTCATTAAGCGCCTCAGTGCCCCAGGTTCCAAAGAGAGAGACATTTTTGCTCTTCTGGAAAGTGATGAAACATATTAAAAATGTTCCTTAAGACAAACTTATAGATTATTGGAGGATCATTATAAAACACAAGAGAACAATGGTCTTAAAAAGAGTTTTGACATCACTTTACAGAAAGAGAGCAAAAGAGAGAGGGGGGGAGTGAGTGAGTGGGGGGAATCAAGTCATTTTATATATGTGTGTGTGTGTGTGTGTGTGTGTGTTTTATTTGTGCTGATAAATAAATAAAGGGAGACTAGTATAGATCTATTTCAAGCTATTTAGCACTTATCAGCTAGCCATACCCTTACTGGGATTCGAACCTGTGCTGTATTGCATCTTCTCCATGATATTCTGTCCCTAACCTAGTTTTTCAAATCTTTTCTTCTCTTTCTTTCCACCATACCCAGCATTAGCCTTTTCCACAGAGCCAAGTCTTTACATAATGAACCCAAAGTAACATGATTTAGCCATTTGTGCCTTGAGTGACAACTCTTGATGGCTTTGGTAAATATATAAATAAAATAAGTAGGCAGAGCAAATCAGATGAGTTCTTTTGAAGTACCTGCTAAGAAACCTGATGTTCTACCAAGTTATTTCGGAGGCGGGAGTCAAGAGGCTGAGATGTTCTTTGCTCATTCTGCTGATCTCAAGCAATAGAGGGAAATATTTTAGATTAATGTTAATCTAAAAATACTCCTTGTTTGGGAAAGGGGTTGAAAACGTCTATGTCCTTCCTTCCCCAACATCCTCTCTTGATATCAGAATTCAGAGAATAGATACTGAATGAACCATGCTGAGTAGGATACTTGAAAAACATCCTAACAGTGTCTTAATTTCTAAAATAGTTTCAAACACAGCTTGGATGATTCAAGGGGTAATGTCAATCAAGAACACCTGAATATGATGACTAAATCTTTGGACTAGATCTGCCTCCCCAAGAGTGGCCATGAACTAGATCAGATTCATGTATAGGTATATGTGTATGTGTTTGTGTATGTCTATGTGTATATGATGTATATGTCTGTGTATATATGTATGTGTATATGCAAAGTATATAAATATATGTATATATGTGTGCTAGTATGTATGTATGTATATGCAAAGTGTATATATGTATGTGTATATGTGTATATATGTAGGTATATGTATATGTATATGTGTATATATGTAGGTATATGTTTATGTATGTATGCATGTATGTATGTATGTATGTATGTATGTGTGTGTGTATGTATGTAAACAGAAAGCAAATTAGCTATTACAAAAAGATGAGACATTTTATTTCTGCAAACCAAGAAAACTGATCAACAAGGCAGTTACTATCACTCAAGATAGAAGGTTTCTTTTCCAAATTTTCAGAAATACCTGCTATTAATTACATGATGCACTTAGTCTAATTGCATTTGTTATCTTTCTTACTCAAACTGACCTTGAAAACCTTCCACTCCCATTAAACAACCTAATCCTGTTCTGGATGGGACATACACCCTTGTTGCATTTCCTTCTCTATAGCAAGACAAATAGTCTTGAGGTATAGAATGTCACACGGAGGCTCTCTATGAATGGCAGAGATTCTCCTGCTGAGGCTATTTGGCAAGTGCTACTACTGGACTAACCGCGGCGTGCTGGAAAAGAGACCCTGGACAGACTGACTGTGGCTACCGCTTCTGACCACTGACCAGAAGGCCCAATCATGTCCTCAAAGAACAATGGATTCTATAGTTCACGCTACAATTAAGATTGAATATTTTATTTTGGGGAGGAGGGCTTCTCTGGAATGAGATTTAATGTTGGTTTCCTCTTATTGTTTTTGAAAGGAATTATTAAACTGAGGAGGCTTTTCAACGGATTTTCCGTTCTGTTCCTCTCAAGCCTACATTATTTCTTCAAGCAGGGACTGAATGAAATGATAATATTCTTCGTACAATGCCCTGAAGTCAGAAAAGAAATGCTTTGGCTTTAGAAGAACATAAGAAGTGCTTGGGATGTGTGTGTGTGGGGGGGAGGTATAGGGAGAAAGAGAAAGAAAGAGAGAGAGAGAGAGATGACCACCATTGATTTAGAGCAGGGGTATCAAACTCAGTTTCATTGAGGGCCGCATCAGGGTTGTGTTTGACCTTAAGGGGAGAGGGGGGTGGCTATGTGCCCTGGCCAGCTCACTGTCACTCGTGTTGGAGGTGCTTGTGGTGGGTCAAACTCCATTTTTGCTGGCAGAGGTACAGTGTGCTGGTCCTTCGCTGTTCTCAGGGCACCTGCATGCCAGATTCAGCCTTGTGTTTGAGACTCCTGATTTAGAGTCCTCTCTAAATTGAAGGATTCATTCTGTAGTTATTTCAGTGCTAAATAAAATTAAATTTTTTTTTCAAGAAACATAATTTCCTGAACTAGAGGCCCTTTCTTTTTCTTTGTAATATTGATATGTCACCAATAAGCAACATTGGCTGATTATATATAGATTTACACAGAAATATCAAGCCTTTGGACATGACACCTGACCTCATTACCAAACTGGGACTTTCCTGATACCACGACTCTGACTATGTGAAATCTCCAGACTTTTAACAATTAGTGGAGAGTTACTATTAAAGGTCTGGTGTTTTAGGTTACCAAATGTGGTTTGATGTTATCATAAACTTATATTTGGTAATTGAGAACATGCTCATGCCGAAAGACTTCTAATAATAGGAATTTTCTATATAATGCTCTTTTCCTACAACTGCAAAGAGTGAAACTTTCTAGATTTGCAACCCTTACAAAACCTCCCAAGAGGGGTTTATCATGTAAATTTGACTTTAATTTTAAATGTATCCTGAGGGAGGTTTATAATTTTAGTATTCTTCTTTTATGCTCTTGTCACATAAAAGACAAAGAAAAGAATTCTCCTTGCTGCTAGATGGGGCTCTCTCCCTTGTCTATGTATGTATGATTGTGTATGGTTGTGTGTTTGGGTGTGCATATATGTGGATGGGAGGTGGGAGATGGGAAGGAGAGAGAGAGAGATTTTCTTTCATATGGATCTCTGTGAAATGTCATACAAAAAAAGAAAATATTTTTCAAAAAATTTTCTCTTCCTACAGAAATGGAATTTTTATATCTTGCCTTCCCCTTTTCTGGGGCAAAGAAATCTTGGTATTTACATTATCTCTTTCCATAGCCTTGATGGGTAAAAGAAATGGGACATAATAATGCTGGAGTTTCCTTAGATTTTCATGACTTTCTCTATTTTGAATTAGCAAGACAACAAAATCCATTTTTATTTTTTCTCACAGTATTATTTTGATGTAAAATGTTGACTTTTTTTAATCGTAGCCCCTCATTCCTTGATGCTCTTGATTTCAGAAGGTTTCAGTTTTGATAAAGTACACCAAGTTTATGGCTTGAAAACTTCTACATTTTCAGCTTGTTTTTAAGCGCAGATGACAAAATGAAGGAAGTTTTGTAGCTATGTTTAATGAAATAAAAATAATGGGATGGGTTACTTCCTCTTAATTATGTGGGCAAAGCCTCTCCTCTTTAGTTAAAAATTAAGAATCCTGAAAAAGGGTGATAAGAAAACAAGAATGAAAAACAGGGGAGTGTTCCATTTCCTGAAATTTCAAATTATAACCCTGAGTATTTCAGAAGTTACATAAAGTATAGATAAAGAACCTAAATGGGAGCTTTTATTCGGAGTTAATGATCAAATACAGTCTATTTCAATGTGTGGCTTTTCCAATATTTAAAAGATTCTGAGTTTAAAAAGTTAGTGTGTACTTATTGCCTGGATTTCAATGTTTTCTCTATAAAAGAGACAGGTTTTTCCCCATAGTCGATTTTATTATCACTCTGTCCAAATGCTGCCAACAAAAGCAATATGAAAAACCATTGTATCATCTGCTGTGCAATGTTGTTTTCCTTTATATTATTCCATGGCATATTCTTTAATGTGTCACTTATGTAAAACTTTGCATGTTTTTATATCTTTCTATTTAACAATGTTCAATGTACAGTTCAATATATCATTTTAGTTAATTTTGTTATTGAAAGCTTTTTGAGTTGTACCATCACTGCAACAAATTCCCTGTGAGCAAAGCTACTTGGCCTTCCAACAGAAGATCACTAAATTGTTTTAGAACTAAATCTTTAGCCTCCAAGGTGTGCTTTTCCTTCAGCTCTGATGACTGACTGCATGGTGAACTGCTGAATGCTAGGACTGAGTGCTACTAACCATCAATTAGCTTGTTGACAAGCTTCACTGCTGTAAAATATGACGGACTTTTGTGGCTAATTCCATCAGCAGACGCATTGACCTAAAACCAGCTAAGTGGTGGGATTCATTTATCTTCCCTACTGGTGCACAAATGTGAGTGTGTGCAGTGCTCAAGCGTTACAACGGGGGCGGGGGCGGGTGGAGCCTCCCACAGCCACCACTTCCGGTTCGCCTAAACCTGGGAGAACCAGCTGAATATTACCTCTGAACCAGCCTATGAACCCCTCAGAATCCAAATCAACCAGACAGCCAACCGGAGACAGCACCGACCCTCAACCAACCCACACAACCTCCCCACGACCAGCACTTCACCTCCTAATGACCCTGACCTGAAGTAATCTCCTTATCACAAGACTCATCACAAGACTCCCTGATGACTCACAATTGACCTATCACAAGACCCTCACATGACATACCCACACCCAAAGTTCTTATAAACAGAAGA